TCTGTGCACCTCTTTCACCACTTCCCCCCTGTGGTCCAACACCAACACTGGACTCCGGATTTGATCGCACGCTATGTAGAAGACTTCGTGATTTACCTGAAATTTAGATACAAATCACCGTAAAATCATCTAAAATAGGGGGTGACTATAGGTAAAATAGGTGTATAGGGGGTCACTATATACCTGAGTGGTGAGGGGCACCCCCTGGTCATCGTATACAATAGTAGTGACTCTGGCGTCGGCGTTATTGAAGGTGTGTGTGACAAGACTTGGCCTCAATATATCGCCGTAGAAATACTGCGTTACGTTTCCGTAGCTGTCTTTGCGGACAGACAGCCGACCCCTCGAGTCATACATATAGCGGACGTCATAACGTGAGAGCCGATGGGCTCTCATGAGTTGTCCCAACGAATTGAATGTAAACCTCTCTTCTCCCCTCTGAATGACAAACCCTTTCGCGTCCGTAATATAAGGCGTTTCACCGAAGCTGACGATCCGATCGCTGGCGTCATATAACATGTCGATGCGATTGCCCATGTATTGCATTGTCGCCAGATTGGAGTTGTCGTCGTAGGAGAACTTCCAGTGATCCCTTCCCATCACTTCCACCAGCTGTTGGTCATTATCGTAGGTGTAGTTCTGGAGCCGCACTTTACTGGCGCCCAAATGGCGCATAAAAGTCTTGGATTGGATGAGCGCGCCGTTGGTATTGTACGACAGATCCATACGGAAGACCTCTTTGTCGGCGATCACGAGTGATAACTGAAGCAAATAGTGTGAGGCGTCGAAAGTCTTCGAGTAGGAGGCGATCCCGTCTGTCAGTAACGTCTCGTTCAGCGATTTGTCATAAATGCGGAAATTGGCGATCGCTTCGAGACGTCCGGTGCGCTGATTGTAGGCGTAATCAATGGCCGGAAGACTGACTGATCCGACTCTGGCCGACAGGAGCTTCAGTCGACCGAAAGAGTCGTATTGATAGCTAAACACTAGATTTGATAAGAGATAAGAACTGACGAATTGGTGCAACTGTTTGGTGAGCAGAGCGCCGGTGTATTCAAACATCA